TGGGAAGTGATTGGGTTCCTGCCACGCCTGAGGGAAATCATTTCCGGGTTTGGGAAATGTACCACAGATGGAGCTGTCTGTCTGTCTGTCTGTCTCTGTCTCTCTGCCTCTCAAGTAAATACGTAAGTAATTTATTCAAGAAGATGGCAGCTGGGAGCCAGCCTCGGCCTGTGACACCAGCAGCCTGTAGGAGCACTGGTTAGAGTTCAGGCTGCTCTGCTTCCAATTCAGCTTCCTGCTAGTGCACCTGGGAAAGCAGCAAAAGTCAGCCCAAGTCCTTGGGCTCCTGTGACCCACGTGGGATGGAAGTCCTGGCTCCTGGCCTCAGTCTGGCCCAGCCCCAGCCATTGTGGCCATTTGGGGAGTGAACCAATGGATGGAAGATCTCCCTTTTCCATAACTGCCTTTCAAAAAAAAAAAAAAAAAACATTTTTAAAAAGAGAGAAAGAAAACGTCAACCACAGCATACCGTATCTTGCTTCTCCCATTTTGTAACGTGTCTTGGAGCCCACTGCATAGGAATCCACACAAAGCTGTTCTTGTTGCAATTGCATTATATGCCACCATTTGGCTGCGCCACACCTCTGTAACTGATGGTTCCCCACTGACAGCCAATCCAGGTTGTGTCTAGGTCCTGGAGCTCCAAGTAATACTGCAGTGAACATTCTGGCACAAACATCCTATGAATGATACTGCTGTGTTAAAGATTATATGAATTTTCAATCTTGATAAGACTGCCAAAGAAATGGTTTTCCAAAGATGTTAGTCTGGGGGCCAGCGCCATGGCTCAATAGGCTAATCCTCCGCCTGTGGTGCCGGCACCCCGGGGTTCTAGTCCTGGTTGGGGCCCCAGATTCTGTCCTGGTCGCTCTTCTTCCTGTCCAGCTCTCTGCTGTGGCCCGGGAGTGCAGTGGAGGATGGCCCAAGTGCTTGGGCCCTGCACCCCATGGGAGACCAGGAAAAGCACCTGGCTCCTGCCTTCGGATCAGTGCGGTGTACCGGCCGCAGCGGCCATTGTAGGGTGAACCAACGCAAAAGGAAGACCTTTCTCTCTCTCTCTCTCTCTCTCTCTCACTGTCCACTCTGCCCGTCAAAACAAAACAAAACAAAACAAAACTGTTAGTCTGGGTCAATTTAAAAACTCTGTAGAGTTTGCATTCTCCTTCATTAAAATGCCTATATTTATTTTCATGTCACCCCCATCCCCTTAGTTGCATTGACACTGCACCCAGTGCTGCGGCAGGGAAGCAGTGGCTTTGTGCATTCCGGCCCCTGGAGCTGCACCCTCACCCTGGGCCACCTGGGCTTGGTCTTGTACTGCCTCACTCTGCAGCCCTACTGAGCTCGCGGTTGCTGTCTGGCAGCCTTCCCTAGAGCGGAGGTGAAGGGACGTGATGGGCACTCCGGCGGAGAGTGAGAGAGGACAGGAATCCAGGAGACGTTGTGAAAGGCCTGGGTGCCCGGCCGAGGCCCAGGAGCAAGAGTGGCTCTCAGAGGAAATGACTTAGGAGTGACACTGTCAGTCTGCTAGATAGGGGGAGGCGTTTGGTGAAGCGGCTGAAGTCTGCTCAGGGTGCCCACATCCCGTATCAGAGTGCCTGCTTTGAATGCCGGCTGTTCCATTTCCAATCCAGCTCTCTGTAGTGTGCACATTCAGGAGGCAGCAGGTGATGGCTCAAGTACTTGGGTGCCTGCCACCCATGTGGGAATCCAAACGGAGTCGCAGGTTCCTGGCTTTGGCCTGGCCTGCCCTCTGGCTGTTGTGGGTGTCTGGGAATGGACCAGCGCATGGAAGCTTTCTGTTTGTCTGTGTATCTCTGCCTTTCAATTTAAATGAAAATAAATTTTAAATCTTTTTTTTTTTTTTAAGATTTATTTATTTGAAAGGCAATGCTACAGAGAGGCAGAGGCAGAGAGAGAGAGAGAGAGAGAGAGAGAGAGAGGTCTTCCATCTGCTGGTTCACTTCCCAGATGGCTGCATTGGCTGGAGCTGGGCTGATCTGAAGCCAGGAGCCAGGAGCTCCCCCCAGGTCTCCCACTCCGATGCAGGGGCCCAAGCACTTGGGCCATCTTCCACTGCTTTCCCAGGCCACAGCAGAGAGCTGGACTGGAAATGGAACAGCTGAGACTTGAACCAGTGCACTGCAGGCAGCAGCTTTATCTGCTACACCACAGCACCAGCTCCCTAAACATTTTAAAAATGTATTTTTAGAAAGTGCTATGTTGGCATTTTAGGAGTGCCATAGTTTGGTTATGGTTTGACCACTTCCCTCAGAGGTTCACGCACCAGCAGTGAGGTCCCCAGTGTGGTGATGCGCCCCTTGAAGGGGAGTGGGGCTTGTGAAAGGCAAATAAGACACAGGGGAGGAGAGCTGCCTTCAGGATTAATATCATCTTGAAGGACCCCACTTGGTTCCCTAGAAGGCAGGTTGTTAAAAAAAAAAAAAAAAAGAATGAGGGGCTGGCACTGTGGTGTAGCCAGTAAAGCTGCTGCCTGTGACACTGGGATCCCATGTGGGTGCCAGCTGGAGTCTGGGCTGCTCCACTTCCGATCCAGCTCTCTGCTATGGCCTGGGAAAGCAGTGGCAGATGGCCCAAGTACTTGAGCCCCTGCACCCATGTGAGAGACCTGGAAGAAGCTCCTGGCTCCTGGCTTCGGTCTGGCCCAGTCCTAGCCCTTGAGACCATTTGAGGAGTGAACCAGAAGATGGACGATTCTCGCTCTCCCCCCTCCCCTTCTTTCTGTAACTCCTCCTTTCAAATGAATAAAATGAAAAAAACAATGTTAAAAAAAAAAAACTGGAGACAGTGAGCCTGGCCCAGGAATGCTGTTGGCTTCCATCTCACCACGTGGGTTCTGTCTCAAACACGCTCCTGCCGTGATGCCATCTGCCAGGGCACCCTCACCAGAGGCTGGACACACGCAGCCACCTGACCTGGACGCCATCTCCAAAACTGTAAACTGAAGCAACGAGTGACAGTGAGAGAGAGGGAGAGACAGAGACATAGCTTTCATGCACTGGTTCACTCTCCAAATGGCTGCAACAGCCAGGTATGGGCCAGGCCCCAACCAGGAGCCAGGAACTCTGTCCTGGTGCCCTATATGGGTGCAGGGGCCCAGGTACTTAGCTCATGTCCCAAGGCCCTGCCAGGTGCATTGGCGGGAAGCTGATGGAAAGTGGAGTAGTTGAGGCCGAGTCCTGGGTGGGATGCCAGGATCTCAAGTGGTGGCTTAGCAACGGCGGCCCCCAGACTCTTTTCTTTATACAGTATTCGGCCTCAGGCATTTTGTTACACCACAGAGACAAGGAATAGCATCTGCTCCTTCGTCCGTCTCCTGCCACTGTCACGAACAAGCTCCAGACCACTCC